CAATGTTTACCTAGATCGATGTACAGTCATATACACAAGATACCTGATCCCCTTGTATACTAATGTTTACCTAGATCGATGTACAGTCATATACACAAGATACCTGACCCCCCAAGCCGACTTTGCCCACCTTTTGGTTCTGAGCACAAAAATGCGGAAAATATTGTTAAACAAACTTAATCATTAACCTGTAAGCCGTATAATTTATTATGGTATGACTCCTGGTCGTCTCATTTGTGAATGACATTGTAAGAAAGTTTTTAAGCCAATTTGACCGTTAAGGTATAATTCTTACTTAAATACAGAATACAAATTTCAACCAGCTTTAGCAAAGACGTCGTGATTGAAGGATTGCTTTGCAATTTAAGGCAAGCATGGTTCGAGTCACATTAAAAATAAAATATTATTTAGCTATGACTATTATACTTTTTTTGTGTTTTTAACGTCTGGATAGGCGTAAGGAATGTCTAAATCTTGTTCATACAGAACAATAATTTCCAATTTTAATAATTCCGTTAAGTATATTAAAACAAGAAAGAAAACTTTGAAAGTAATTAAAATTGAATTGGTAAATGGGAACGAAACATGGAACAATGCGTAATCACAGAAGAGACGATCATATGCAAACTGCAGAGCGATTTCGTCATTTAGTATCTATCCATACCCGCCCCTTAGAATAATAACGCATAGAATGACAGTTTCATATCAAACGAACTGTCACAAGTGAGGCAAAAATCAAATTCATGTAGGCTAGTTTTAGTAGTAGGGTAATTTTCGGTTTTAGTGAATATTTATATAAAAATACAAGTTGAAACGCGTTACTTCCTTGTGGAATGTGATGTTAGTATCTATTTTATGTTTGTCTGACGTATTTTTACACTCATTTACAGCACATTTCGTCATTTTTAGCTAAATTTCTTGAGCTGTTCGCGGTGCAAGTTGACCTTGAGCACTGAAAGCCCGCCCGCCCGTGTGGGAGCGCTTCAATTTGCCTCACTTAGCGTGTGCGGGCTAGGTTTCTATGCGTTATTATTCTAAGACCCGCCCTACATTTCATTAATAATATCTACCCACCAAAGGCAATTTCTAGTGAGCAAGTATTGTGATTTGTCAACGTTCACATTAAAAAGTGAAACAATGCTGTTAAAAATGTAAAACAAAAAAGTGCTCGTGGAATCGAACCACGGGTATTGTAACTGGCAGTCGATATAACAAGCCGCTCGACCAATTTACTTAGATGTCAAATAACGAAATTTAGTATTGGTTTTAAAAATATGTTGATTATCTTCAAGCGACACTCCACTGTATTGCTTAGACAATATAATTGAAATTGCATTAATTTTTTCTTTGTTCAATACGTAGGTCGGTTTGGGCATGTTAAGGGGTCAGGTATCTCATGTATATGACTGTACTAATTGATTACTTACATAGGTCCTACCGGATAATATACTTACGTGCAAGCAGTTCCAATATCAACTCCATGTCGGCTTAATAAGGTCTCAGAGGCGAATTTCATTCTCAGCACGCAATATTCCAATTGCTCCGCGTGTGATTTTAGAGAAGGGTGCAGATGTTCCGCTAAATAGAGATCTAGTTTTGGATCGTCTCTTTCCTGCAAGTATAAAAACGGGTTTTTAAGCAGGGTGATGTTGTCACTGACGGTCGAGACGCGTCAGAGCGAATGCGTCTGAATTTCGTGAATAAATATATACATTACATTACATTGGAATCTTACATATTGTAAAATTCCAATGTAATGTAATTGTTGTGTTATTGGTATTCATTCTTAGTTCTGACTTTGACTTGTAAGTCAGATGGACATAGAGATAAAGTGTTCAAACATCGAGTACATAACCAGAAATAGACACGAAATAAGGGCCATCCACCCCTGGCAACTCATTAGGCAAATGGGCCTTACATTTTGCGTCCTTAGGGATACAGACGCTTCCCTGTCTGCTGATTCTCCAGATAGCCATGTATGCACGCAATCACTTGTATCAGTTCGCACAGAGATGCGACAAAGTGCGGTACACACTGCGATACGTAGGCCGCCTCCGCGGCGATCTTCACCGGCTGGAGAAGGCGACGCGGACCATTCATACAATGAGCCATCGCGTATACAATCACTTACGATGTCACTAGCGCTCCGAGCACGTCTTCCTTTCTCGTTAGGCTAAAAATGTGACTAATCCAACGCTCTTTTTTTTAATTTATCGTAATTTTTTAATTTTAAATAATATTATAAATTTTTATTGAATCGATATTCAATTATTTTGTGCGAAATTACTCCACTAGTTTGTTATAATTATTAATACAAAGATCGAACACTCAGAAACAATTCCTTCGATCGGCCGGATCGAACCGGATTCGAACCGACGTCTTCTTGCATACCGTGCCAGACGCTATACCAACTAAGCCACGGAACGAACCAGCGGACCTCACGAATTTTTCTATGTGCTTGCGTCGTGTCTTTGTATTTGGTTTTTTCAACGACTTTTTAGTCGTAGCGCCATCTATGAGAAATCTATGAAAGATTTATCACCCAGTTAGTACCTTTACAGTTACCAGTCCTGGCGAGAGATGTCGCTATTCGTTGTATTTTAAATTTTTATTGAATTGACATTCAATTATTTTTTTGTGAAATTACTCCACTAGTTTGTTATAATTATCAATACAAAAATCGAACACTCAGAAAAAATTCCTTCGATCCGGCCGGATTCGAACCGACGTATTCTAGCTTACCGTGCCAGATAGATAGATTTAAACAATATTATTTTATGTAGGTTACTATATTTCTTTAATATCAGTTTACAATGAAATTCATTTAAAACACATTTGTTTAGTTAACATTATCATTGACATTACTAAATTGACATGTAATGGAAATTATGAATAAATGATTATAATTATGATTATCACTTTTAAATATCATACAAATTAGAAAACTGAAATAGGAAAATGGCAACAACTGACCTATGTGTAAGTCTTCGTATATTTGAAATATATTATGTATTTAATGTAATAAAGATAATATATCTAACTATGAGGGGCTGTTCCATTCGGTGGTGTGGGAAAAACTGCAAAACATCTAATTATTTGTAATTAGATGTTTTGACAAACGCAATCAAATTTCATCGGTAATTAAATATTAAATATGTAATGTTGCAATTTTCATCCATTATAGCAAAGCTCAAGTTAAACTGGACATGTTGAAGTGAAACAATTGACAACACCCGTCAATTGTTTTGAATTCGGGTTGGCCAATCGTCTGGTTATATACTCGATGTGTTCAAATAAATTTCATAGAAATGTATACAATTTCAAAAGCAGAACAGCTCCTTGTGAAAGAGTTCGTCCAGGGAAGTACTGCGACTTGACCTATTTTTGCCAACAAGCAGTAATGTCAGCATTACTGTGTTCCGGTTTTGAAGGGTAAGGGTGCTGGTGAAATTACAGGCACATGGGTCATGTCAACTTATGTCTCAGGGTGACAGGCGCAATGGCAGTGCCCCTCAGATCTTTGCGAGTTAAAGCTGTGAATGACACTGCAACTGTCATGGACAGGCGTGTAATTTACCATCAGGCGGACGACCTGTTCGTCCCGTCACTTGGTATTGTACGTGTGGCGCACTATACGTTTCCGGAATGAATAAGAAAAAATACTATATAAATGGTCAGAAATGAATTTATTGTTTCTCAAAACAATAAATTCATATAAACTATTTGTAGCACAAAAAAAATGTGTACGAGCAATGTGTGGCTTAGGACCCCGCGAAACGTGTAAACCTTTGTTTAAAACTCTCAATATTCTACCGCTGCCTTGTATGTACATTTTTGAAGTGTCTATGTTTGTAAAAAACAATTATAAACTTTTCAAAAGGACACGAGACGTTCATTCAATAAATGTAAGGTATCCAGACAAATTAATTAATCACAATAATACCAAATTAACTTACTACCTGAGACAATCTGGAGCTATGTGTGTGAAAATATATAATGCTTTACCCTCCAACATAAAAGATGTAAATAATAATCATTTATTTAAACGTAAGCTCATGTCATGGTTGAGAGATAAAAGATTCTACTCCCTTAATGACTTTTTTTCAAACAAAGATTTTCAAATTTGACAATATAATTGATTGACATAAAATTGACATTAATTCATTATGTATAATTTTTAAATTTTGATTATTATTATTACTTTTAACTTGACATGACATAAATTTACTAGTACTTATGACATTTATAAATTAATAACTTTTTTTATATTACTTTAAATTACTAGATTTGCTTTGAATTATATACAATTCCTAGAATTTTATAAAATTTAATATTTGCATGCCGATTTCGGTTAAATATGAGAACTGTTACTCTATAAAATACCATCTTATGTAAACCATATTTTGAGCAAATAAATATCATTCATTCAAAATTTCTCCGTTAGCGTTAATGCACTTTTTCATACGAATGAACCAATTTTGAAAACATTTATGCCAGTCCTCCGTGACAATCTCTGAAACATAATTTTCATCTTCGACAGCCTCTTCAGGTGATGAAAATCGTTGACCGCGTAACTGGCACTTAATTTTTGAAAATAAACAAAAGTCACAAGATGCCAGGTCGGGGCTGTACGCGGGATGGCTCATAGGGTCAACGTATGTTCACCTTCAAATATTCATTTGTCTGTCTGGCCGTGTGAGAACTGGCATTGTCGTGGTGCAAGATGATACGGCGTTTACGGTTATTTTTACGGAATTTGTCAATAACTCCGGAAAACAAATGGTCTTGTACCAACCACTATTCACGGCACAACGATTCTCCAAAGCAACAGTAGCCACGTGTCCAGTTTTATTTAAAAAAAGAAGCAATCATCCGCTTAGAGGCACTTTGCTCGCGCGCCACTTTGGTTGATTTCGGCTCATCTCGAAAGACCCATACGCTCGATTGCTGCTTTGTTTTGGGATCGTAACTATAAATCCATGTTTCGCCATCTGTTACAATGTCCCACACCAAATTTGACGGCCCTTCGTTGAATCTGGTAAGCATGGCATTGCACCAAATCCGTATTTTGAGCCTAAGTCAAATTGTGTGGGATCCATCGAGAGCACAGCTTTTTGACACCCAAATCTTTGTGTAGTATTGAATGTATTTGACTCATGCCTATGCCTAAAGGCGCCCAAATCCCATGGTATGTCACATGTCTGTCTGTTTTGATCACACGGCGCACAGCATCGATGTTTTTGTTGTTCACAGCAGTGGACGGGCGACCATTACGAAATTCGTCACTGAGATTCACACGACCGCGTTTGAATTCTGCAAGCCAGCTATAAATAGTCGTCTTGCATGGTGCTTCATCGCGAAAAGCAGTTTGAAGCCGAGGGAAGCTCCGCTGAGCTCTAAGGCTTAGAAAATCATACCTACTACGAAAATTTTCACGAGTTAAATCTATGGTGATGTAGACAACCAATTTCTAAAATGACGCCACAATGTAAAAACAAGAGACAGTTAGATGAAACAAACTGTATTCTACAGCCAAAGAGTTCCAGTTTCAAATGTTGTAATTACTTTTTAAATATTGTTTATGTAAGTGGCCAGTTCCGGAAACTTATAGTGCGCCCTATGCACGTGTAAAAAAAGGTAAGGTGGCAGTAGGCAATAGTTCAGCACGTACGGTGCATACCTGATGGCGATTCGCAATAACCTTCCTGAAAATAAACGTTGGGTGGAATAAGGGGTTGCGTATTTGCTTCACCTCGTCCGCCATCAGTTTGCCCGCGTGGTGGATGCCGTTCAGAGCTGAAAATCAATTAAATTGTAAACAGGTAACAAACTGGTGGAATATTGTAATTAACTTTCATTGAATGTCAAGACTTTTGACCACCATGATATTCAATAATTTTTTGTAAAATTACTCCACCAGTCTATTATAATAATTAAACAAATATCGAACACTTAGAAAAACTTCACATCGATCCGGCCGGATTCGAACCGACGTCTCCTAGCAAACTATGCTAACTAAGCCACGAAACGAATGAGCGGCCCTCACGAATTTTTCTATGTGCTTGCGTCCTATCTTTGTATTTGGTTTTCAACGACTTTTTAGCCGTACCGCCATCTGTGAGAAATATATGAAAGTATTTCGTCACCCAGTTAGATACCTTTACAGCTACCAAGCTCTGGCTAGAGATGTCGCTATTAACTTTTAATTAATTTTTTATTGAATTGATATTCAATTATTTTTACGGAGTATTAAAAAACCGACCTCAAAAATTATTAATCCCCTAGTTTGCTACCCTTAGAGGTGAAATATTTTCTTCAAATTTAAATGAGACCACTACTGAGCGATATATCGCCGGTTCGCTGCACGAGCCCTAAGTTATAGAGTAATTTACCCTTTTATTTTCGAAGTTTAAAAATAAACATGGCATAATTTGTTTTCCATGAATCCCTTGTGACGTACTTTTACCATATTTTTTAAAAGATGCCATGATTACGCTTGTTGAATATACACGTATATAGTGGTTTCAAAACTATGACACTGAAAGATATACTTACCAATAAACATACTGACTGTGGTCGGTAGAGTCTCGCCGCGCAACACTAGTTCCCGCATGTTATTGAGTAGTACAGCTGTCTCTTGGGGCATCTCTAGTGACGGTATAGCGAGGAGGTTTAGGGCTGCCGATAGGCTGCGGTTTCCTATGAAGTTCCTATAAAAGCATTAAAGCTATTGGTTACAGATCTCTGAGAATTTTTTTAAGTTTAACGTATTGTTGTTTATATTTTGTGATGGAGCCAACATGGGGTAGGTGAACGCACTGACTGACCACGGGTTGGTTCTTCGGAAGTTGCGTTGATCGCCAGTCTTTATTTAGATTAAGCTCCGCTGCATACGCAATCTGCAGAATACGTGAGCTTACCGATGTTGCTACTGCTAGATTAGTTTAGTTACTTCCATAGTATAATATTCTACGGGATTCTCATGTGGGGTACAGCGGCAGACATTCAAAACATATTTGTGTTGCAAAAACGAGCGATTCGTTTTGTGTACCGTTTAGGTTCTCGGTTTTCTCTTAGAAAAAAGTTTAAGAAGACTGGTATCATGACTGTGGCATCACAGTACATTTACTGAAATATTTTGTATGGCCGTAAAAATATACATAATTTCGTTAAGAAAGAAGATATCCACTAAGTCCAAACTCGTTGTACCACGATTTCGTTTAACCAAGGTAAACGACTCTTTATACGTTTTTACAATAAGATTCCGGAGCATATATATGATTATAATTTCTTAACTTTAAAAACTACATTAAAAATATTTTGATTGAAAAGTCATATTACAAAATTGAAGACTACGTGTTAGATAAAGATGTATGGAAAGACGACTTGGCTCCAGAATCCATACAAATTTGATTCAAAGTGTATTCCATAGCATTTAAGTTTATTTGAAAAGAGCAATACCATTCAGTTTCTTGCTCGTTCTTCTCAGGGAGAAATTGCATATTTCTATTTACTCAATGTTACTACAAATTTACCATGACTAAATTTCATAATAAGGTTTAGTAATATGTTAATTTTAAGTATGTATATTTTTTAAATATGTAAAACTGTTTGTTCCTCAATAAATAAAAAAAAAATAATAATAATAATAAATTTTGCACATGAATTATGAGAAACTCACGAGGTTCAGAGAGGGTAGGTCGATTAATTCTTACCTGCACATGGCCACTTCAACCTCAGCATCAGGCTCCATGTATCCATCGAGTAATCCAGCTGTAAAATATTCTGCACTCTCGCTCGCATATAAATCAAGCAGAGTGTCTCCTATCACGGAACGAATTGTCGGCATTTCTGCTAGAGGTTTCCCTGAAGGTGAAGATAAGCAAAACTTAACCTTCAATCATCAACACAGAGTTGAAATCTAGAGTAATTTAATCATCGCCACGAATACGATGAAAGAAAACATGGCCGGGTGTTCGTAGTTTCAATTTTTACAAATTTCATTTTAAACTTCTTATTATTTAAGTACTTCTAATATAATTACTCTCATGTATTAAAAATGTTCTCCTTACTTTTTTCCAATAATTTACAAATATCTTTATACTTGTTTTTATTAGTTCTTTTTTTGTCATTTGTCGCGCTCAATTTTTACGTTGATAAAATTAATGTGCAGAACTGTCAAATGGTTGTTAAAATCAGCTGTGTTTTTTGCAGCCATTGGTCGCGGCACTCACGGTAATACAAGAACGTAACGCCACTGTGCTCGCGATGTTAACTATTGTGATAAAATGTTAAAATTTATCACTCGAATTTGACAGCTAAATGTGGATATAATACCTTTATCGCGGCGCCATACTGGGGCTAATGGTCTAATCACTTACCAACAAGTGCACGACTGTGAACAAAAACTTCAGTATGTTTGAGTACGCTGTGAAGGGCTCGTCGACAAAGCGTGGCGGTCTGCAGTCTAGACAGGCCCAACGTCTGTGCTATTTGTTGTTCAGTGCATTGATCTAGAGGCGTACCTGTGGGGGGAAGTTAATGATGGAATTGAAAGCGCAAATCATTTAAGCGCCTACGCATAAATGCGAGCAATGATGTGACGCTGTCGCGTTGCCAACATTTTTGTTTCATACGCTCTCTATTGTCCCACAAAATGTTCATTTTTTATCATATCTAGTGACAGGAAGTCGTGGGTTTGGTGGTAAGCGACACTTCTACGCGTAATAGTTGCAATATCACTCTGAGCTTTAAACCGCAAAGATCTTATGGGCACTGCCACTGCGCCTGTCACCTTATTGACAAGTCTCATCTCATGTGCCTGTAATTTCACCAGCACCCTTACCCTTCAAAACCGGAATGCAGCAATGCTCACATTAATGCTTGGCAGCAGAAATAGGTTAGGTGGCACACCTCCCTGGACGAAGTATATTACAAGAAGCTCCGTGTTTAAAACGTGTAGCCTTATAATAAGTACTGAAACCTAATTTTGAAATAGTCTCGAATATCCCATTTTTTTTCCTTGAAAATCCTAGAGATAGCTCATATCGACTCCTCCGACGTAAAGTATCGTATGTCGAAATTGCCAAGTTTACAGGGAAGCGTTTTAAAGTTCTGAATTCACTGAAACGAACATAACACGTGACTTTAGTATTTCTCAGTTTTATTCGGCAAAGCTCATTACTCACATAGAGTATTATAAAATCCTAGATCTATGGTGATCACTCTTTCAGTGAATTCAGAACTTTAAAACGCTCCCCTGTAAACTTGGCAATTTCGACATGCGATACTTTACGTAGGAGGGGTCGATATGTATGTTGTGTATTATTACTCACCAGGAGTTTTCAAAAACGTAACACAACTCTCGTCACAGGTGATACCCTCAGCATTGGGATGTACCAAAAATGCCTTCAACCTGTCTGCCTCAACTGCAGATAGCACCAGGTAATATCCGCCTTGATTGAAGCAAATTTTTTCACCTGAGATCCTCCAAATACCTGGAAACATTAACCTTTTATTTTTATGTGAGGAAAACTAATGCTTGGCCACTATTGAACCAGATATTTTGCAACAATGTTACGTATTTGTCTAGTAAGTGTATATTCATTTCATGTAGCTTTCGGAAACATTGATGCAGGATTCCATTATTGTGCCATATGCTTCCGTAAAGATCATTTCGACAGCAGCGAAGAGTAATGGGTTAGGAGATCATAATTTTACAATACAGCATCATGAAAGTAAAAACTTGAGAGAATACATTTATATTCTAAATATCATTCAAATATTAGCTTTTTACACTGTCTCATTGCTCTAAATTGTCACTGATTCTGTCTATTACATGTAACAGACCGAATTAGATGAGATGAAGTGTAATTAATTGTAGCTAATAAAATGCAGATAACCGGTTACTCTTTGCTGCTATCGGTTTGTCATTCACATTGTTGTTTAACATCATCTGAGATAGTAACCAAGAATCCTTGTATTTTGAACAGACTTCAAAAAAAGGAGAAGTTTTTCAATTCGACAGTTTTTTTTTTTGTGTATATTATGTGTTACTCCAACATTTGTGGACCAATTTCGATAATCCGTTCTTTGTTCAAAATGGGTGTACCTCGGTAGTGGTGTCTTTCAAATTTGAAGAAAACATTCCACCTGTAAGGGTGGCAAATTAAGGAATGAATCCAGTTTATTGGATTTCATGCACTTTCTTTTCACCGATTTAAAAAACAAATGTAATTCCACTAAGTTTTGAGGTCAGTTTTTTTAATAACGCACTGTTAATACAATAGTATATTACCCGAAGAAATGTACTTTTGCAGAATCGATGACAAACTTCAAAAAACTCACTTCCCATGAAAGATTATTAAAATTTATGCATAAGTTAAATTTTATTACAGACACGTAAACATTTTCCTGCTTCTAATAATGTAAATAAAACGACCATGTCCGAACGAGACAATAATAACCCTCATTTATTGCACAATATACATCGATCACCGTGGTGTTACTGTAAGCATAAATCGAATACATATGATATTGTGCGTGTTTACTTGTGCATATTAAAATACCAAAATATAAATCATAAAAAATGTACAGTTTCACTCGTACACCAAATATATTTAAAAACAAAAGGGGATAAAATAATTTCATATTTTTGAGTAAGGATTGTTTAGTCCAGAAAAGGTTTGTCTCATTTCGAGTTAAATATACATATTTTAATTGTTACTAACAATATTCTACTGACGATTGTATTGATGTGTAGAGATTCAAATTTTACGTTCAGATGTAGTATAATCTTGAATTTCACATATTTTCAGTTACGACACTATTGTGCATATAAAAAAAAATTATATAAACATGTAAAAGAAACAAGTACCTCGTGAATCTAACTCAGCGGTAGTCCTAAAATCCGCCTGTGATATCCTTTCAGCCAATTTCTCTTTAATGCACAACCCTATAGGGTTTTCTCCGCTAATCAAGTCGTCAACAATTTTCTGAAAGTTCTCTTCACTAAAACCAACTTTTAAAGCCTCCAATGCCACCCAATGGTCACTAATTTGCTGTCCGAGCTCGAGATCTAGCCCTACAGTCTCTAAGTACCTTATACTTTCTGTCATATTCATAGCCAGGCCTCCGTTGGTCAGTTTTACTGGAGCTCCATACAACCCGATACGTTTGAGAGCTTCCTTGCGATCGCTTTTTGATTTTTCCGGGTCAGTGAAGACTTTTTCGAGAATATTAACTCTTTGGTCAAGTGCCTCGGACTCGTCTTTGTTTAAAATTTCAGGGAATGCCAGTAAGTCGCGATTGAACACCGAAACAAATACGTCCTTCATGAAGGGCTGTATTTTCTCTTTTCTACGTTCCGTACGTTCAACTGTTTTTAAATCTTCGAAGTTGAATGTCTCTTCTTTAACCTGTGGCTGTGTAGCTTGTGAGGATTCATAATTTGCGGACGAAATTCGAAATTTTCTGACGACATTTTTGCCGAAACTTGTATGTTTTATTGCACACACTGTACGAGCAATATTCATTTTTGATGACAAATAAATGCAATTAGAGTATAAAATCGCTACTTTTAAAGCGTTTATTAATAATTCAAATGCACTTTATGTTCTTTTTTAGGTTATGTGCCATTTGACATTTGTCTTGTGAATTTGACAGATATAGAGTTCATTTACAAAATAACGTTATTTTTACGTACGAGCAATGAGCATAGCATAATATCATTGCGTACGACCACCTCATTTATTTAGCACACCAACAAAGATAGAAATTATAATTGTCTATGTTTTCATCATGTAAGCCCTTAGAGGATGGAAAAAATAAAAGAATGTAAACCTACAGATCAGCAGCATCAAAATTCAAAATTTAATATGTAAGCCTGTACTCTCTAACAAAGAACCCCATCAATACTCGTTGAATAGGAGGACCTATAATAGAAGACTATATAGACTTTATATAGTCTTTTTTAACATATAGACACACTCTCATACACACACACACACAGACACACACTCACAAACACACACACAGTAATTGTAGAGAGTATCCCATTGATATTTCTTTTTCTCTCTTATATTTTCTTCTCGTTAAATTTATCTTCCCCTAATATGTATAATAATATTGAATTATTTAATAATCTTGAATAATATATTTTTTTAATTTTATAAGTGTTTTAGGCCCTCGTTGCATTTAAGCCCGCCTAAGATCTTAGGGACAAGGAGGTGGCTGAAAAACAGCGCTACACAAGCAGAGATACCTCCTTTTTCCCTCTGACATGTTTGGCGTACCGTTTCTTGTTTATTTTTGGCTTAACATGTTATTTATTTCCAAAAAGTGTCGTTGTGGCAATAAAGGATTTTCGTATTTCGATTTTTGTATGTATGTATTACTATATTACTACAGAGACGGAATTTCTACCTTTCTCGCTCGCACTTAGCATTACTTATTACTGGAACTCTCTCTAACGTGTTCTATGTTCTGTGCGGATTATGGGTCGTATTCTAGAACTCTACTCAATGCTCAAGTCAGGATTTGAGTATGGTTTAAAGCACTCGAATTTCATACTTAAGTCCCTGTCATTATAGTCGTATTTCCAGTGCTTGAAATCATACTAAAGTCCTGACTTGAGCATTGAGTAGAGTTCTGGAATACAACCCTATGACTCGATCCGATCTCAATTAAACTATCACTCAAGGGCGTTTACCGATACTTACCGAGAATTATAGTGACAGTCTGCCTGACCTAATGGGTCATACAATAAACACCTTTTTAATTTAGGTATCACAGAATAGCCCTCGATGCAAAGCGTGCATGGAGGGGCAGTAAGCGGCCGCCCACATTCTACTACAATGCTCCGCCGTGGCTAACCACAAGGCGAAGTACCTTGGAGTGCCGAGGTCGTTCTCCAAAGTATTCAGCATACCCAAGAGGCTGCTAAGATTCCTGGAGAAGCTTGGATGGCACCACAGATATACATCTGGCACCCACCACACGCATAACAGGTGCTTAGACGTTGAGTTGCGGACACGTACCACGCCACGCTTACACTTACCTCACCACCACACGTACACTTACCTCACGTACCATACCATACCGTACCGTACCATAGTGACAGTCGTCACTTGATAATTATGTTTAATAAAGCAATTTATTTGTACATACATAATACATCGATAGAGTTGCATTATACGAATTCAGTAACGGAAACGATACGAAACATAGTCAATAAGAGTAAAATAAATAATTAGGTACTCGTTTTTTTTTTTACAAAAAAAAAGTTTAGTGCGCATTTGACCTCCATCTCACCTGATAGAAAGTGACAATAAAGTGGACGATGTAACATGCACACCTAAATAATGCCTATTCACTCTCGCCTTGAAAAGGTCCAAGTTATAGCGTTCAGGGAACTAGTCTGCGGGCAGGGAATTCCACTTCCTACCCGCGCGCCATACAAATGTGGATGCGAAGCGCTTCGTGTGAATCCGGGGAATATACACAACAAAGGGGTGGAACCCCAGCCCACGTCTAGTCCCCCGATGATAGAAAGGAAAAGGCGGAATCAAATTATGCAATTCCATCGCACACTCTCCGTGATATATCCTGTAGAATACCGATAAGCAGGCAACTCTACGGCTGTGTTCAAAGCACTGCAGCTTCGGTAAAGGTATGGTCAAAAAGCATGAAGTTAAGCCTTAGCAAAAGAAAACTTAGCCTGTACGGACAACGGCACATCAGACTACACATTTTTGTACGAAAACCGTCTCCATTGCAACGAAACAAGATACGTCAATGTGTAGCTTGATGTACTGGCGTGTACCCGTATGCTGGTGTGTAATATACCCGACACCTGTTTCGCCTCTCCACGAGGCATCCTCAAGGGCTGTTGACTGCTCGACGCTCGGCCGAGAGTCGATTATATTTTTGGTGGTGGTTTGTGACTGTAGTTGCGCTTGTGTTATTTATTTTATTAATTTTATGCGGAGGGAGGGTGGAATAATAATGAAAAAATACTCAACACAAGCGCAGCTATTTTGCACGATTTAACCTTCACAGGGTTCGCGAGGTAGCAAATTAATTTACTTCCATTTTTATTGTATGTTGAGTGTGTGCATTGAGTGTGTGCGTTAATGATTTGTAACCGGCGACCTCTTTCCAAGATACAACAAATATTTGATTATGATAACGTTTTATTATACCCATAGAACGAGACCGTTTGATTATCATTACTTATGATAATAATCAAAACGTACTCAATCATTGATAAACAGACAAACTGAAGAACAGCTTAGCGTCAGCGATGGAAGATTAAATTTAAAGTGGCGTTTAAAAACATCGCCAAATCCACGTGTTTTCTTCAACACATATAAGTTCGATAGTCTCTCCATAATTCTATGTGAGAAATAATAACTAGGGCCCGGATTAATAATATGTAATTACCTACATATTTTTGATTTCAATAATTGACGTTCTGTAATATGTTTTCTACATAAATAATGATATTTAGAATATTATTCTAAGATTTAGAATAAACAAATTTACTTTTTAACCAACTTCAAAAAAAAAGGAGGAGGTTACGTTCGAGTGTATCTATGTTTTCAGATATCTCCGTCAATTGCAGACCGATTTTGAAAATTGTTTTTTTGTTTAAAAGGATGCACTTTCGTGGTGGCCCCATTGTTACTTAGGCAGAATCTGATGAAGGGATTCATTCTGGAGGTGGTCCCTGATGCCGAGGAAGCTGTTCCGGGTTTGTTTTGGCTATCACAAATTAAAAAAATATTAAAAGTCGACATTTCAGTTGACACAATACATGTATTAACAAATCACACAAAGGAGTCCTTAACAGTCCCATTGTCAAGAAGAAGTGATGAGGGGATTCCGTGGAAATGGAATCCAATGGAAAAAAGCAAGCAAACCTTTAAGGTCGGTTCTTTTTCCAATGAAAAAGTTATACTCTCCATAGTTTTCCATATTTCCAAGTTTAGACCATATACATAATGTACACGAAACTTGCAATAATCCATATTTTCAAAATTACGTAATATTTTATTTAATTTTAAAAAATAATGGTGCGTGTGTGCTTGAAAAAAAAAAGGTTTGTAAAGGAGGGGGGTTCTTTCGTCCGTTGGATGAGGTTACCAAAACAAGCCAAGTGAAACTCCAAATTGTTCAGAAGATTTTTATTTTCACCTTGTATGTCGCCAATACAATTTCACCCTACATGCGGAAGGTCCGGGCAGTTGTTCCCAAGGACTCACTCCTGGAAACCGTTCCGCGAGATGGGGTTTATTCACCCTATATTAGCGTACAAAATATCAGAACAACCGGGTAGCAGTTCCCAAGATGGGACTCAACTCCTGGTTGCCTTACTGAGCTCTCTGTATTCTAAGATTTCTCTTCACATTAACTTTTTTTTATGAAGGATATTTTGCAGTTGGCCGCTGATGGCCTTGACTGCGCCACCGGAGAAAACGGCGAGCTGAAGGCTCATAACCCCTAAAATAAACTTAAAAAGCTAAAAAAAAGGATATTTAGTTAGAATGACAGTCTTTAAACCTGTAAAATATGAAGAAAAATCAAATAGTACCGATTTCACACAAATTGTATTTTTAAATATTTAATACAGTGTAATATTGACGTCATAATACTAGAAGTCCGTAGTAGTTCATGTGAATAAAATTACTAGTTTGGAGCGTTCGTTCAATGTCCGAACAAGGACAAGACGAACTAACTAACTAAGGAACTAGATGATCTAAATGAACTAAAAGACCGACCTAGTTCAGTTGACCAATTGAACTAACTAGGATCGCTCCCTCTAAGGATCGATCAGGCACAATTCTAATCCCTAGAGTTTCTTGCTCGTTCGTCTCAGGGAGGTCAGCGTAGTGAACGTGACGTTTATAGTGTGTCAACTCCATCTAGAGCGCCCGAAGCGTACTCGCAAGCGTCTTACTCGATATCGCGACGACCACATCCTCGAGGAAGTACATTAGTCTTTGCGAATGTAGATGGCGCTTCTCGCCATCGACCCTGTTTTGCCAAAATATCACCTTTTCATGACCAAATATGGCAATAACGAATCGACTTCCGGTAACTTTCGTTTTCATCGTATCGGTATCCAAGAGTCCGCGTTTAACAGTGGTTCCAGTTGAAGTAATTTTTCATGGGCGCTTTTTCTGCTGTAATTTTGTTTTAGTTCCTATTATAAGTATTTTCTTATGTCGTAGTATCTGTGTAATATCTCTGTGCCCCGTTTTTTATATATTATAAATATCCATAGTGTTCTACCGACTGTCTTATTTATTTTGCCTGGCCATACGTTTTCGAACAGGGTAAAATTTTTTCCTATGGAATAAATGGTTATTTGACTTTGTCTTTATGATTTAAACAACTGACTGACACAGCAACTGTTTTGGACAATCGTGTTACTTACCACCAGGCGCACGAATTGTTCGTCCCTTTTGCTTGGTACTATAAAAAAAGATAAAATATTTCACCGATGGCTTTTCGAGTCAACGAGCCAAAAAACAGCTCGCGCGTC